TTAATTCCGTTATGAGACTGATATTACTTACATGTTTAGTGATTTAATAATCTGATCTTTGAGCTGCGATTTTATGGTTCAATCGAAACCAGTCAATCAGTTTATTTGTGTACCTTTTAAGTTGATCTATCAGCTCAAATGGTTACTTCAACCATATGTGAAACTTCATAAAATGTCTGCATAATAATGGTCGCCCATATATTTTTCGTTATTTTTTATAAATACAATTCAGTCACGACCTTAATTACGTCATAAAGCTTCGATTAATATCACGACTTTTTTCTCGATCAAAACCCTAGCAGAGACTAAACAGCAAAAAGCTCCAGGTTTTATGTAAAAGTTAATTTTGCAAACCTTTTAAAATCCGATTCATCACTCGCTTGCAACTCTTAAAATGCAACATCAGTGGATGATTATGTATAGAAATAAAGACTTTGTTTTATTAAATTGTTTATAATAACGTTCAATGAAAGCTGCTTTTTGTGCGCATTAGCAAAAAACGGGAGTGTGTTCCATATAGCAGATAAATGTACAAAAACTTGACAACGTATCCTGTGGACGATGCTGTAGTGCCTGTGCAAAATTAGAAAAAATTGAACTTGGGGACTAGAATGCGAAAAACATAGTGGTGGGTATACAGAATTCGATCCCCGCCGAATATAACTTTCTTACTTGTTTTTATTCACTTTCCATTCTTTATACTATATTTAAAGTTATTGTATAGCTTACATTCAGCTAATGACTTGTTCTGTAGCAGCATTTAATAAAGTAAGTAAATAAAAAAATAAGCAAATAAATTGGAGCACCTTCCAAACCTTTGTTGTGTTTAGTACGATTATCAGTATCTATTGTGCTGCGGTGCACAACGTTGGCGAACTTGGTTAGTTGTAGGCAGAGGTCGCGTGTGCCAGCGCGTTTTTCACAAGCTGTTCTTCGTTTATTGTTGTTGCTGTCGGTGAAGAAGTGATAGGTTTGAAATGAATACACGCTTGGGCAGCAAGATAGAGACCAGGAACCTCTCTTCGTCCAAAATGGGATGTGTGAATGACGCAGACGAGAGAACTTTTATAAAGGCGATAATGATCTATTATCTAGAGTTTAAAACGATAGCTCCGCAGAAAGTAAAGGTTGAATGCCTTAATTAAAAATGTAATCGCGATTTTAGCAGACAAAAACAAAGTTTCCAATGCATATTTTGATAACTTTTATCCTTTAACCGGAGAATGAGGGTTATATTCATTTTGTCAGAACATTTGGAACGCCCAGAAGGAAGCGTCAGAAGGAAGCCGCAAAATATATATATTCCTGATCGGTATCAAGTTCTAAATCGGTTTAAGTAGGTCCGTCTGTCCGTCCGAGTAATGTCTGTTGTAAACATTTTGGTGACCCCAAAAATGAAGCTATCTGCTTCAAATTTGACAGCAACACTGGAAGTTCTTGCACGCAGATTGGTATTGAAAATGGACCAAATTGGCCGAAGAACACGCCCACAGCTTCACGTAAATTGAGAACACCTCTGTTTTTCAAAGGGAATGACAAATTGTTTTCTTACTCATTATTCATAAACTGTGGTTAATAACCGCACAAAAGTCTGAACAACTATTCTGTGGGCGACGCTGTAGCATTTGTGCATAAAAATGAAAAAAGTTGACCACGTCTACCCACTATTATAATATATCAAAATTTAATGGTTATCTCCATACAAGCTTCGAAAACCCCACAAAGTATACAAATTATTAGCCAGTTTCAAATTTGGAATACCCCTCAATATGTCAGCCTGCCCCTCTGTTCGTTGTCTGTTGGCGCAACCTGGTAGTATATTAGGTAAACATTCCCCCGTTAACGTAAATGAACATATCGCCCAAAAATTTGCAAAAGAATTTAGAATTGACCTGAACTTTTTAAAGAACACGCCTATAACGCCCACATGCCTGTACGAAAAAAAGTTTTATTTTGAAAATAAAAGAAGAGAAGAGAAGAATGTGCCTACTCCTTATTACAGAGCAAGAATATTTTGTTCTTTACTTCTTTACTTCTGTCTTTTCTTGAGGTGATGGGCATAAAAGATTCTGACCCGACCGAATTTAATTTTCTTACATGTTTAATTTAAACATCCTTCTCTATATACACTATATATATCCATATCCATAAACTATGCCCCATCAATAATAAAAGAAAGAAGAGATTATTGCGTCAACCCAATCGAAACGCATAGAAGTCTTCCGTTTGTGAACATGACTTAATTGGTGATGTTTTCCATTATATATAATAATAGAAACCGCTAAGATTTGATGATTAAATTAAATTTAATGGAAATAGCATAACATTGGTACTGTATTGTTCAGCTTTCTTTTTCCACGGATCAACTAATCAATCTTGACTTTTATAGACGACGCTAGGGAAAACTAGGGCCAAAACCTGAAAAGCGCTTAAAATCAACTCAGCAGCATATTCAAAAAGATGAACTTTTATACAAGTCGTTCAGTCCGTAATAAAAGTTCATATTCTATGTGAACAGAAAAGCATATATATTCTCTTCTGTTTTCGTTTTCGGTTTGGTTAGAGTCTAGTTGTCCGCCTGCTTTCAAAATGTTATATAGGCATTTAGATAACATTCGAATAAGCGATTTCTGTAAATAGTTAAAACAAAACATTATATTCAAAATAACATCTTTGCTCTGCAGTCGATGATGATGGTGTTGTTGTGAATCCTTCTTTACCTCTGTATTGCATAGAAAAGATTAATTATTAATAAATTTTTTTATTTATTATTTATTAATTGACTATTAATTATTTAGGATGCGCAGAGCCGCAAAGCTATGCATCTATTCTTTAAAAGATGTTCTTCGCTACTCTTCCCACTTTTTCCTCCTTCTCCCGCTTTCTTCTTAAGAATAATTTTTTTTTCTAATAATTTCTTGAAATGAAAAACAAAATGTTCAAACTTTTATGCATTTTCAAGTTTATAGTTTATTTCGTTCCCTTACAACGTAATCTAAAGTAATCTAAAAAAATAAAAATATTTTGTAATTGTAATCATAATGTCGTAATACATTCCGTTTACATTACGAAAATAATATTTTTGGCAGCAATGGCAACACCATTTAATGTCATTCAGTAAAAGTGTTTGGTCATTTTCATAGTCGGCATTATTTTAACAAAAATTTATTGACTTGTGCATCAAGCCAAAAAAAATTAGGAAATTTGCATTTCTAAATAAATATTATAATAAAATACTTAATAAATTGTAAGAGTTTTAAAAATTTCGAAGCATTGGGATTACCTTAAATAATGGAAATCTAATTTTAGATGTTTTTAACGCGTGCGGAATATGATAGAGGTGTGAACACATTTTCTCCCGAAGGCAGGCTCTTTCAGGTCGAATATGCCATAGAAGCTATTAAATTAGGTTCCACTGCCATTGGCGTTTGCACATCAGAGGGTAATAATGACGAGCTTGAGAAAAATTGAAATGACTTAATTCATATTGTCATTTTTCAGGGGTGGTCTTAGCAGTAGAAAAGCGCATTACATCGCCTTTAATGGAACCTTCCACTGTGGAAAAAATAGTTGAAGTGGACCGGCATATCGGCTGTGCAACATCGGGCTTAATGGCAGATGCTCGCACGCTGATTGAGAGGGCACGTGTAGAATGTCAAAACCACTGGTTTGTGTATGATGAACGCATGTCGATCGAGTCTTGTGCTCAAGCGGTTTCCGCTTTGGCTATTCAATTTGGCGATAGCGGCGATGGTGGCTCGGCTATGAGCCGCCCATTTGGTGTGGCAATACTCTTTGCAGGTATTGAAGATGGCAAACCGCAACTATGGCATATGGATCCGTCGGGGACGTACATACGTTACGGAGCAAAGGCTATCGGTTCTGGCAGTGAAGGAGCACAACAAAATCTACAAGAGCACTATGTGCCGGAAATGTCCTTAAATGATGCTATCGATTTGTCTTTAAATACGCTAAAACAGGTGATGGAGGAAAAATTGAATTCAACTAATGTTGAAGTGATGACCATGACGCCAGAAAATCTATTTCGTATGTACACAAAGAATGATGTAGAGAATATAATAAAGGATTTGGCTTAAATTATGTTTTACGGTTGATTTTATGGTTGCAGCCCGTAAGTTTTCGTTTGGATTTTTTTTTAAAATAAATTTTTCGTAAATGACACATGTTTTGAAAAAGAGTTTTTCTTATATATATATTTCTTAGTTTTTTTATTGTTTATATATATATATGTATATATATGTTGAGCTTGTGTGCGTTGTAGTTTTATATATGTATGTATAATTACCACTGTACAATGCATTTGATAAATACTTTTTTTTTCTAAAGAATTCACTCTACGTAGCAATTGTAGAGATTGTTTTATGTTCAATACAACGTTAAAATAACTAATTCAAAATTTTCGCTTATACATCTATATATATATTATATATGCATATATTAATATATATCTACGTAAATATAATATCCTTTACTGCTTGGCACCTGCTTTACATGTCCATCCACACTGCGTGGCGTGTATGAACCATCACAATGATAATGAAAATTGAAAAAATAAGGTCGATCCAGAGCGATCTATTATTTTTTGACAAAATATCAGCCTTCGTTCGATTTAAACGAATCTTAGGTAATTTCCACGCAAGTTTTGCGCGATTGTAACTTAAGGAAGACGATATGCGATGTTGCTACGACAAATATTGGTTTAAAATTTTTCTTCTGAATTATCCCTTCTCATACTAGCGCCACTATTCTGCTGCTGACCGCTATTAGTGTTATTATTGTTGTTATTGTTGTTGTTATTATTGTTACGCCTTAACATTAAACTGGCATTAAGATCAGTAAGCGAGTAAATATCGGGTTCAAAAACTGGAGGACATTCCATATTGGGATATTCGGGTGCATTGATCTTTGTTGGCATATCCACTATATTAGCATTAGTTACTTTAGGTGGAGGGGGGGCAATCATTTCGGGTGCCGTCAATGTAACATTCGAAGTGGCTGAGGCTGTCGAATATTTGCGGCCTGTTGTCACTTTAGGGAAAATCACTTGCGAAAATATCTCTTGATCGTATTCGCGGCCTATGCAGGTAGTTGCGGTAGTAGTAGTAGTGGGTGTAGTGGGTATAGATATAAAATTTTGATTGTTCGATGTATGATGTTGATGATGATGGCCGAACACAGTACGATGTAGCAAAGGAGATCCAAGTAATTTCTTCTCTTTGCCTCCCCCTGCCTTTAAGTTACTGTTATTATGTGTTGAGGAAGAAGTCGAAGAAGTCGAGAAACTTAATTTAGAGAAAATTGGCATAGGTGCTGAATTTTTACGTTGAGCTTCATATTTACCGCCCGCTTTATCTTTCAGATCATTGTTGTAGGTGTGACTTTTTTTAATTCCACTATTGCCACTGCCCGTAGCCCCTTCAAGCAGGCCATGACTTGATTTCTTATTTAATGGCAAAGTCATGGTGATACCACCTGATGGCGCTGCTGTCGAGGATGAGGACGAATGTTTACCGAATTGAAAAATTCTCTCACTGGAAGTTTTAAACGATTCCAGTTTACCTTTCTTTTTAAAACTACCGGAACGTTTGTCGCCATTGCCGACCAAATCCGCGGCAGAATAACTGCTACCTGATGAATGCAAATGCTTCTTATGCTTGTGTGTCGTTAAAAGAAACTGCCGTGTTTTCATTGCTGTGGTCCAATTGGAGCTATTGCTTTGCTCCTGATTTTGTTCGTTACTACTCCCTGATTGACCAGATGGCTGACGCGCTGCACCCATACGTGTTGTGTTGCTATTACTCGATGCTCCGTCTATAGGCTCATCGCCCGAAATAAGCTCATAACCAAAATCACGCAGTTTTAAACCTTCTTTTGTCCGCGTTAATTGTATATCCTCGTCATCGGGCTTAAAGCTAATCTCATAGTCCGGAGGTTTGGGTAAACTACGAGACTGTGTTTTTGCTACTTTGGAATCGCCCGCGCAAACTGAAGCATTCTGTAGGCCATTGGCGACGGATTTTGTAATGCGCTGTTGTTGAGCATTACGTTTGTGCTCCTCTTTCTTTTCCACTCCCAGTAAAACTCGATTGTTGTACATGTCCTGCGCCTCCTCTTCTTGTTTTTGCAACATTAAATCCTTTAATGTCATAAATCCTTGCGTATTACTCGGTAAAGCATCCCAAGCCGTATTAGAATTAATTTTCGGTAATGTATAATCCAGAGTTTTGGAAGTTTGGAAACCGAATTCCACCAAGTTGGGGTTCGAAGCGTGTATGAAATTGTATGGTAATTTTTTTATGGCTCTACTAGGAGTAACATGCTTAGTTTCGTTTTCATCAGAAATAGTTGATGCCGCTGCTACTGTGGGTTCTCGTGTAGGAGCCGGGGAGGCAGGTGGCCCTAAATTTGTTGCGGCTATTGTGTCGCTAGTACTGACAATAGAAGAACGACTGGAAGAGATTGCTGATTTTCTAGCAAGAGACTGATTGATTGGTTGAACCATTATTTCATTATTTACTGCAGCCGTCACTGTTAGACCTGGAGAAGGTATGTTTTGCAAAATATTTTGCTGCTCCGAGGGCTTATTCGATCCGCTATTAAACGGATGCATAGCCGTATCATGATATCCAGGTGTATTGGCTCCAATTTGTATTCCAAAACTTCCGCCTGGTACCTTACGGTAACTTCTAAATTGCTCAGTGGGTACTGGTATATCGTTAGAGATTTTCTTCTCATTCGTTGATGAACTTTTAAATGGCAACGTTCCTTTGGTAAGTTTACGCAATGAGCCCAAATAACGTCGATCATGTTTGGCTGTAGTTGTTGGTGTACTTATGGATAATTTGGAGAAACCCGAGCTACAAGTGCTCTCCTTAACAGTTTGCGGTGAAGGTGTACTAAGATTTTTATTAATAATTGATTCATTTTCTTCATCGGAACTATCATTCTCTGAAAAAAGGTCCCGTGTGTTCGATTCATTGGAAGCGGTAGAACAACCTTCATTAACCGTTGGAGTGCTTTTTTGAAGAGTAGCTTGACGTATAAAATCCACCCATTGACTCAGAGCATCTTGTGATTCAGCTGCGAAGTAAAAAGTTTTAGCCGAATGATAAACTTTAAAAGCGTTGGGTTTAGAGTGTACTTCCTAAAAATGCAAAAAATGTTCAATATAAATCTTTGTACCAGTTTTTTAAAATGCTTACCTTCGCCAACGACACTGTAAAGCCTGGCAAAAAAATAACACAACTAGCTTTGGCGGCATCTTTGCAGCGGAACCCATACAGAATCGTGTCCAGCATCACGAAATACAAACGCGCCCAAAATGTGACTCCACGCTTATCCTTGGTCCGTCGATATAAATGTCCTTGTATATCACCTGTGCCAAGAATTTTTAAATTTACATTGCGTCGCTTAGCTATTAGGCTGTGTTTTTTCTTCAAGGTCAGCGTACGAGCTTTTGTAGGCGTGTGTAATTCATTGATTTCACTACCATTGCTACTTGTTGCCGTTAATGACGAGGCACTAGAGACGATAGTGTTACTCTCACTCTCTGGAATTCCGGTTGATGAAGATGGTAAAAATGTATTTGCCTGTCCTTGTACAGTTGTAGTTGACAATATAACCGGAGCGACAGTAGATGCATTTGTTGTAGCGTTTGCTGCTGCTAGTGATGCTAATAAGCCGGGAGGCTTTAACGGCTTTGGCGGCGGTACTGGGACAGGAATGGGCGTTGCTTCGCCTTGTTTCCTTGGTCTAGGTGGTGGAACTGGTGGAGTCACAATTAGAAATTCTTTGCGCGGCTCTATGGCAGGTGGTGCATCTGCATCTCCGCACGAATTATCATAAGCCGGTGTGCTGTGACTCTTATCGAGTCTCCCTCTTTTTACTACCACAGGCATATTGACTGCTTCTATTAACGGCATGCTGTCCCGATTACATACTTTATCAATTGCATCTAGGATTTTCTCTGCTTTATCCGGTATATCCCTTAAAGTCTCAATGGTCTCTTCATCTTCTTCATCGGCAAAAGGTATGGGTTCAAATGTCTCTAATATAGTGTTCTCCACATTGCAAGTGTACTTTTCATCTAACTTATAATCTTCTACATTCATTTTGGCGTCAAAACGTACTACTTTGCTGACACCCGGCTTGGAGTATTCTTCCTGCTGTTCTTCTAGAGGTTGTTCAATGATGACTTGGCGCAATTTTTTACCCTCGGCGTTTGTAAACAAGTTACCGCTACTACCTCCTTTCATGCCGCTGCTTATACCAATGCAAGTAGTGGGTCTTGGCGTTATTTCCAAGCCGAAACCGAATGATACAGATTTATCCCGTAGACTGGGAGAACCAGGATCACACACTGTACCAGTTTTACGTTCATGCCATAACGGTATTCCCGACAAACTCTTATGTCCTAACAATTCGTCGCCACAAATCGTATTGCGTCTCTGCAACATGGCTCTAGGTTTGGGATAATATAAACGGCTTTCCTTTTCCGTAGCCTTTGTGTCAGTTGGCGTTAAAATATCGCTGGATATGGAGTCAGTATCAGCATCATCAGCTTTCTCATTTTCAGTACTTAAATTTATTGGGGTCTTAAAATTATTATCGGGCGCCGATAACAAACCAGGTCTTGGACTAGGTACATTTTCCCCCCAACGGCTTCCTACCGAACGTTTCTTACTAGGAAGTCGGTAAGGTTGCATGTAGATCTGGCCATAGATTTTTGTATGCTTCGGTCTCTTTTTCAATGTTAGTAAAACATCTGGCAGAGATTCACGTAATTGTAACAATACATTTTTGTATTGCCATCCCACAACCGTTTGATAATTAATTTGAACAATTTCGTCACCATCTTCAATTTTTCCGGAATTATGAGCAGGCGAATTCTGTTTAATATCCGTGATGCGATGAATGCCATGATAAGTGGATTCAATATTAAAACCCAGCTCCGATTCACGTTTTTTCAATGTCACCAAATTCAAAGAAGCTGGCTGCAGCAACATGGGATCGGTAATATCCTGTATAATATAATTAGCCAGAAGTTCTAACGTTTTGGCGGTGCCTCGAATTTTTTCTACTGGATTCTCAACAAAACGTTCTCTCTGGGCTGTAGTAGCCATTTCCAAACCTAAACGTAACATTTTGCGGCAAATTTCTGTAAACTGAAATTGTCCTTGGAATGGAGATCGATCCAGCCAACCAATCAGCGGTTTAATAGTCGCTATAGTTCGGGTAATATCGCTTAGTATTTGAGTTTCAATAACAGTAGCTCCACTTTGGCTAGCTAATTGACTATGTAAACTGCGCGCAGCGGTAGCCACATGTAGCGCCATAAACTGTAAATTCTCCTTATCCAGATTATAATGCTGAATTAGAAAGAGTAGACAAATCACTCCGTGATTATAAAAGAGAAAGTGTTAAACAATCAAACTTACAAAATTTCTTAGATTTTCGACTGCTTCCAGTACAATTTCTTGATGCCCTATAGAGAGCATACCCAGTTGTTCAAGCTCATAAGGTCGTATATTCAACAACTGGCGGCCCCCTACTTGGTTATTGGCAAAAGAATACACATAGTTGTACATGGAATCGTCCAGACCTACAATGTTAATAGTAGCCAAAAGTAAAAAAAAGGAAAAATTCCATTTATGGGTGTTACTTTACACTCTCCCATATATATATATATACATACATAATGAATCATTTTTAGAAAAACAGAAAAAACAAAATATTTAAAAACTTTTTTATATACCTTTTAACCAGTCCGTTACTTGATCTGGCGACCATTCGGGTACGTTAATGTAAGCCATTGTTATTTTGAATACGCTGGATGCAGCTAAAATTCTATCAGAAAGTGCATCATTTTAGGGAAATGAACAAAATTATTAAACATAACTACATATGCAAAAGGGTAAGGAGAAACTGTTGTTCTTTTTTTTTTGTTTGCTGCGGTTGCTATTTATTATTGCTTTATCTCTTTTAGCGTTGACATTTCACGACAAGATGGGACTGCCAAGTCTCCCAATGGCCAATAGAGCGATTTTCTGAAACATAGCTTTTCGATTTAATAATTATTTAAGTTTTTATTACACTATTCAAAAAGGAAAGCATTTATTTAGTAATTACTCCGACTTGATGGTGGTCTTTTATTAAAAACTTCTGATTGAATATAATTGCGAAATAGCATCCTTACGATATCGTAATTTTTCATACGTAATGGCAATACTACCAAAAATGACTTAGGTCTTCATGTCTACGCTGGCAGCGCTGAGATTTCAACTTTCTTTTGGACATTTCTCTTGATGTTAGTTTTGTTGTTTTTTTTAGCAATTTGAGAACGCGTGCTGCTGCGTGTTAGTTATCTGGATTTTATGTGCAAAATAAAATTTTAGATAACCAATAAGAACAATTGCAAATAAAAAAGAAAATGTCCACAATTTCCGTAAATACACAGACTAAGCAACTTAAATTTTATAATCCTTCGAGTTCGGCCAGTTCGGATAGGTAAAATCAAAAACAAAAGAATGTCTAGTGAAGAAGATTCCAAGAAAATCATTAAAAAAAGAAGTGCATTCATTACATGTGTGTATATTTTTCATATCCCATTTATCTAATTGCTTCTTATCGCCTACACTTTCAACATTAAACATTTAATATCATTTTAAAGATACAGTGTTTAATAAATGAAAGCTGAACTAAAAAAAAACAAAAAAAACTCGAGTGCAATCTTTGCACAAACTAGCACACGCCGTCGTCATATATATATATATATACAAAATATACTTCAATATATATACAATAGACACACATTAACACAAACCTATCCATTAAAATAACACAACGTAAAATTGCATTTTACCCGCAGTAGTAGTAATGTTAGTGTCAAAACAAAACCACGTATCATTTGTGATGCCGGCTAAATAACTTTTTTTTTTGTTGATTTTTTTCTAACGCAATCTCAATATTTTAACGACATCGTGTTTTTTGTTTTTGTTTTTTGCTTTATGTGTTTAATAAATTAACGGTTTAATATTAATACGCATAAAATAAGAAAAGAAAAGAGGAAAAAAAGAGAACAAATTTGGTTTTGTTATTATTTCGTTGTTCTTCAATTGGCAAATCCTGCAAAATCATTATGAACAATATGGGAATTATGACTCACGGTACTGCCAGAGCAGCAGCAACAACTCATATGACCTTTAAAGCAGTCTCTGCAGTTGGGCAAAACGATAATAACATAAGCCGGTCATCTTTGGTCATCAGCAATTACAACAGCTACAACAATACTGATAACAAAATATACGGATACATGTAAACCAAATATACCAAATATGTATTTAAATTGTTTTATTTATTTTTTTTTTGCTTTTTGTGATATACTGCTAATATGTTACTAACCTTTTCATACATAAATCATATGTAAAATAATTGGTTATGTTTTCCTTTCATCTATATAAAAAAAAAAAATGAAAAAAAATTGAAAGAATAACTTATGAAAACGTATACTGATAGGCTGACTACTCTTTGTTTGTTTTTCCTGCACGCTTTTTCAGCCTTTTTGTTTTGTTGTTTTTCTCGTGCGAATCGCTTCTCGTATATTGCTGCGTTTGCATTGTATTGCTTGTTTTTTGTTAATGGTATGCGATTGTTTGTGTCTAAAATTTATTAAAAAAACAACACGTTCAAGTTATAGCAATACATGTTTATTTTTATACTCACCGTAAGAAGGTATATTAAGCTTATCAGAACTTTCAAATACGTATGGAAATAAATTATGCATATTTCTTATCAGAATTGTCATATTTTTTTTTTAACTTTTCAATAAAAAACCTTACATTTGGCTTAAATTGAATCCATTTGTGTTCATAACATAGTATATGTCAAGATAAAATTATCTCCACAAATAGAATTATATTATCATTTAAAGGTAAATAGTGTTTATGTCCAAGATCTCGATGAATATGTCTTCGTTTTTCAATTAAGTTCGTAATCTCTGTTTCTTGCAATTGAGGTTTTTAAGAATTTAACAAGTAAGAAAATCATATTCAGTCCCGAACGAATCTCTTATACCCAACACCGTTGTGATAAAAAAAAATTTGAAAAAGAGGAAGAGAACCAAATTTTCATACGCTACGATATTGCGTGGACGCGGCTGTTTTCCTCCCTTTTTCTGAAAAAATTTGTATCGTGTCGTTTACACTCGAACCGGTTTTCGTGTGGTAAAGAGGGATCACATAAACGCAAAAAAACAGGTTTGAGCGTATGAGTAATGAGTGAAAAAGACAGAAAGCAAGGGTGTTCTCAGTTTTTGTTGCACAGTGGTGTGGCCGTTGTAGGCGTGTCCTTTTACCACTTTGAATCATTCTCGAATTCTTTGCAAATTTCTGGGCAACAATTTTACTTATGTGAACGGGAGAATGTTTACCATAGGCAGGCGGACATGCGCACTCCGAATTCGAAACTGGCCAAGAATTTATATACTTTATGCTTAGTATTCGTGCGTTACAAAAATTTTGAAAAAAAAGTGAAATTATGACACCTTATAAATATGAGTTAGCGTGGTTGATTTTTTCCATTTTTTCTACACGCCTATAGATCCACATAGGTTCATCTGTTGCAGTTTGGGAGTAATACTTAAAAATTATTTTTTTATTGGTTTTGAAAAACAGAAATGTAGGTAATATAGGCGTATCCTTCGACCGATTTGGCCCATCTTCAATATGAACCCGCGTGGGAGAACTTCCAAAGTTGCTGTCAAATTTAAAGTCGATAGCCTCATTTTTGTGATGAGAAGAATGGTTACAAAAAACGGACAGACGGACATGTTCAAAATTTTGATTGTTAAATTTGATGCTAATCAAAAATATATATACTTTCTGGGATATCTGAATTTTCATTCTAGGCGTTGTCCTTCGGTGATGGGTATAAAAATTATGCAATATGCGTTGGCTTTGGAGACAAAACCGTCCGTATTGAAAAATAAATTTATGTACGTTGTACATATAAGTTATTTAATAATTTATTGAAGATAATATTCTAATAACACTATTGCTAACAGCTAAAATACACTGCTATATTTACTTAAATGGTTAAAAAAAGAAGAAAATAATTTGACAGAATTAACTTAAGATTTTTGGGACTTAGAGTGATTTTATTTTTATAGAGAATTTCTTCGTTTCTCTCCTAACATTTTAGCCCGTGTAGAATGTAATCTTATCACATAAGCCTATTTAACGAGTAAGCATGTTTTTTTTTTTAAACAAAGTGAGAAGACAGGAGGCTTAATTTAAATTTCCCGTGATTTATCATGTCGTGCTTGCAAATTCAGTCAGTAAATATTGAAATCAAAAATAAGCATTTATGTGTAAAACTCGTTTGGTGGAGCCTGAGGTTATATTCCTTTAGCAAGATAGAGGGAATCAGATCCGATTATTAAGTTGATACCGCGTTATATAGAAGGAATTAGATCCGATTATTAATAGATATTTCTCCATTCTGAGAAACACTATATCATTATCTTTCGGTTGACACCGCGTCATAAATAACAACAATAAATGAAGAGGTTATATCCGGTCTATTCATATATAATATGTGAAGAGCGAATAACTGAAAGGAATTTCCGCTAACGTTGTACTTTTTATCTCATACCATGAGTTTGTAGATATGTTATGTACATCGCGTTGTATACTTCTTATGTCGCATATATATATATATATATATATCTAAAATTATTTCTTTATACGACTCTATTAGCATCTTGCGTATATTTTTATAATCTATATATCATTATCTACACTTGTTTTTGTCTTAAAATACCGGAAATGATGTCTAGTTTTCATATAAAGACGTATTTCTCGCGAGAACTCTCTGATATGAGAGATGCGATCAGTAGAGTCATTTAATGCAAATTTAGCAGGTTAATAAACAATTATTCTCGATCATAAGCGACTTTCCTTAAGCAGGAAGTGATACGAATAGCAATGGATTCCATTCATCCATTGTCGATACGACTCATTTTTGGGCCAAAACCTATGAATTAAACATAAGAAATCATGGACGCACTGATCGACTGACAGAAAGACTTAAATCGTTTCAGAAAATACTTTGGAATCGTTTGACATAACAGAAGAAGATAAATCTGACTCGCAAGTATTGTTGCGAATATCCGAAAAAACTTGATGCACTCTAATCAAAAGCGCTTCATTGTCTAGTTATTACGAATCTACTTAACTACCTTATATTTTAGGATGTTGTAATTGTTATTTGGAGAAGATTTCGGGGAGGGTATCCTAGATGTTTACCATTTGTAAACACATATCTTGTGGCCTAAACGTATTGAGACTGTATTTTCTTAAAATACGTCGCTACATTATAGCTATGACATCGATGTGGGTATCAGATAGGTTGGTATGACTGTTGTGAACAGCTGACATAAACTGTGAGACAAGTCCCCTGTTGGGTTATTAATAGTAGCATTTTCTTTTGTTTAAACAATTTTATTTTCAAGTTTGTACAATGGGAAAATCTATTAAAGAAAGAGTTTTCATCAAATTTCGTCAAAAAAAATGAAATTAATAACAACTAAGAAAATTAAATTCGGTCGGGACCGAATCTTTTATACCCATCACCATTTACCTCAAAAAAAAAGACAACGGAAGTAAAACAAAAAAATTTTCATGTTCTATAATATGGAGTGGTCGTTCTTCCGCCTTTCTATTTTCAAAATAAAAGTTTTTGTTATTGAAGCTTGTGGGCGTTGTAGGCGTGTTCTTTGAAAAGTTCAATTCCAAACCCTTTTGCAAATTTTTAGGCGATATCTTCACTTGCGGTAAGGGGAGAATGTTTACCGCAAATGCTACAAAGCTGTGAAACCAGACAGATGGACAGACGAACAGGCGGACATGTTTAGGTGGATTCCAAATTTGAAACTGACGGAGAATTTGCATACTGTGTGGGGTGTTTGAAGCTTGTTTCTTAGTGTAGTAAAGATATTGAAGAAATAATTCAATTTTGATACACTATACTATTGGGCAGGCGTGGTCAATTTTTTCCATTTTTATGCACTAATATTACGGCATCAACCATAGAATATACGTTCCAATTTTTGTCCATTTATTTGCCATAGTTTATGAGTAGTGAGCAAAAAACTAATTTATCATTCCCTTCGAAGAACAGAGGTGTCCTCGGTTTATGTGGTGCCGTGGGCGTGTTCTTCGACCGATTTGACCTATTTTCAATATCAAGCTGCGTGCAAGAACTTTCAATGTTTCTGCCAAATTTGAAGGCGATAGCTTCATTTTTGAGGCCAGGAAAACTTTTTTAATAGGCATTACAGGGATGGATAGACGGACATGCTTAAATCGATTTAAAATTTGATCTGATGCTTGCTTGTGGGCGTTGCACACGTTTTGACAAAATGAACATACCTTACAACCTACGGTGATGGGTATAAAAACTACTATATAAGTGCTACGGGGTGATGAGTGTTTATCAAAATCATAAGTTTTTAGTTTACAAATCGCTTAACAAGGTACATGAGCTTGTCGAAGACGAACCCCGTTCTGATAGACCATAAATCTCAACTGTAAACGAAAAATTCAACAAAATCAAAAAGCTTGCACTTGTCAATCGTTGATTGATTGAAAGAGATTTTATACATATTGTTGGTATGTCAAAGGGATCAATGTAAACAATTTTGAAAAATAATTTGGGCTTGTCTCGTGTCTCTTCTCGTCGTATTCTAAAAGTTTTGAATTCGTTTGGAAAATAAACACTTTGCTGAAGTGTCAAAAAGAAAATTTCCTATAAGTGATAATAACCTATAAAGTAAAATTGCGAACGATGAAACTTGGATCTTATGACTCCGAAACAGCTTAACAATCTAGTGAATGTTCGTGAATATATCACGGGTACCACTGATGAACCAAAAAAAAAAAAAAGATTGATTAAACAAAAAAAAACTCCGCTATTATCAATCCAACAGGGCACGTGTTTCGATATCTATGTCAGCTATTCACAGCAGTCATACCAACCTGCCAAACATTATACACATCGACATCACAGTGGGGATACTTTAAAAAAATACAGTGTCGTTACGTTTTGCCTGTAGCGGTAAATCTTCTACGTTCAACTAATAGTTTCCCATAAATTAAGCAACTAATGATCTATCTTTGGCAATCAATTTTACGTTGTAGGTGCGTTAGTCTTCTAGTCTAGTATGCTAAGTTAAAGCAAGATATTTATGTGCGCTCCATACTTTTTATATCGATCACCATTCATTTGTCAAAACGTTTACGACGCGTAGAGGGAAG